TCCCCTGCTGACACCTTGGCCATGGCTGCAGAACGCTCAGCTGGAGAAAGGTTTGCATGCCTGGACTGGGCAGGCACATTGGGCCTGTCCCCAGGGTCCAGCCGCCCAGTTGGACATCACAGAGCTGCGAGGGGGTGCGGCTGGAAGGGGACACCGGTGCACAGCAGCTTCTGGCAGCCAGCGTGTCCGCAACTTTTGCTGGAGTGTCTGAGTGGAGCCTCTGTCCAGGGTCTGTGGGGCAGGCTGAGATATAGCTGCCACCTCCCACCCCTGTCTGGGTGGTGATCGGGGTGCTGAAGGCAGGAGGACAGTTGTGGCTGGGTCACGCCTAACTAGATTGTTGCAGATCTGTGCACTAGCAGCAGGCCTTCCTAAGACCTAGGCCCTGCCCCAGGCCTGGCTCTTCAGGAAGGGCCCTAAGCAGTGACCTCGAAGCCCAGCCTCTGATGGCCTGGGCTGGCCAGTTTCATTGTCTGGGATGGGATTGGCCTGGAAGGTGTGCTGTCCAAAGTCACACACAGTCCACTTTCCTGAGCCAGCACCACACCAAGGGAGCAGGGCAGGGTTTGGCCTGGCTGTGGCCTGGCCTCCATATCCAGCTGGGCCCGCTGGTTTGCATACTTCTCTGCATGTTGTTGGGAGGGACTGGCTCATAGCTGATCCTCGAGTGGGTTTTCAGAGGCTGTAAATCTCACAGGAGGACACATCTCAGGAGAAGATTGTGCGTCTTTTTTTCCTCCCCGCCAGCAGGACTGGTAGATTAGAGCTGGGCCTTCCTTTCATTGGTCATATGAGGTCCTGACATTTAGACCTATCCTCCCTAATTTGGGGGTCACTGGAGGCCAGCCGGCTGGGCTGCCTCGGGGTTGTGTCCACGAGCTTCCTGTCCCTGTTAGGTCACAGCACCTTCACTTTCTGCCACGGGCGCTAAGACTGAGACCCACAGCTTTCTGATCCTAGTTCTGCCCCTGCCAGGGCAACCCCAGCCTCTGTAGAGGGGCCAGAACTGAGACCCAGGGGTGAGTCAGGCTCCAGAATGCAGCGCTTCCGGGCAGATGAGGAGGAAGACCTTTCTGGGGCCTCGGACAGCTGTGCTGAATGCCCATGTGGGTAATGGCTGGTGGCCGGCAGGGCCAGAGAGCTCATGGGCTGATGACAACAGGACCGTGTCTGTAGGTGACAGTATAACAGCTAGGAGAGGCCCCAGAGCCACAGGTGACAGGTGACAGGACAGCCTGGCCTGGCAGTGGGAGGTGGGACCACACTGGTGCCAGGCTGTGGCACTGATGAACAGGCAGAGTAGGGGTTGGGGTGGCAGGACCCCTTCTCTGCTCATTCCACCCTTCCTTGAGGACCTGGACACCTGCCCATCAGCTATGAGCGTCCACCTGAGGGGGCCTTAGTGTCCTCACACACCCTACTGAGGCCTATGATGCTGTCCTTTTAACCAAGAACAAGTTGAGGATCCCAGCCATACCTCAGCCCCCCAAACCAGATCCCCTGCTGTCCGGCCTGGGGACCGAGGCCAGCTGGAGGAGAGGAGGGCCTACCCGGAGTACTGGCTCTGGTCACATGGCTGGTGAGGAAAGAGCCAGCGGCACGGCCCAAACTTGGTTCTGTGCTGTGGGCTTGGGGCTGCCCAAGTGGCCTTGGGGCTGTGGGATGAATTCTTTCTCTTGGTGGCTGTTCTTTCTTCCAGTGGCTATTCGGGGCAGAGGCAGAGGCTAGGCCACTCATCCCCTCACCCTTGTGACACTGGCTCCTTTTCTGTGGGAGTGCTGGCAGGGCACGCACCTTAGGAAGATTTGCTCCTTCTGTGTCTGGAGCCAGTTGGTCCGGCCGAGATGGAGCTCTGAAGGGGCTTGGCCTCCTGGTGGACAGCGTGCAGCACTTGAGTGGAGCTTCTCTCTGACCACCCCTACTTGGCCACCATACGCCTATCCTTCAGAGATGAGCTTCAGGCCTCCCTTCCCCTAAGCACAGATCCTGCCCAGCCCCCGGCTACACCCTGTGGTTTCCTGTGAACTGTGTTCTGGAAGAACAGGAGTTCTTGGCCCCACCTCCACCTGCCCCACTCCAGGCCGGCCCAGGATGACACGATGTTGCCCAGGAGGGCTGAGGTCTTCCCAGGAGTGGGAGGGAGGGGTGGCTGTGGAGGGGAGGGCTGGCCTGGAAGGTTAATGGATTTTTCCTGGTTGTGCCCTTGACTGTGTCTGGGAGGTCAAGCACTCAGGGTCTGCTCAGAGCTGGGCAATGTGCCGAGGGGGCTGGACGACAGCTGATTGGCGTCACAAAGTGCCACTGTGTGTCCTCCGGCTGGCCCCGGGCTGTGGGCTGGGTAGATGGTGCAGCCAGCTGGACGATGCAGGTGTGTACACATGACAGCCTCAGACATATGATGACAGTGCACACGCAACGCACTCAGCGCGCACACACTCACACAGCAGTGTAACACCTCTCAGCACGCGGTGCCCGCATGTGCACACATGGGATACTCAGACCCAGAGGCACACACGGACTCACACGTGCAGGGACATGCCCATGGTACATGCAGGACAGACACGTGAGCCACCTGCACATACTGTTCACACGTGCTGTGCACGTCCATGCATGGAGCCTGCACACTCACTGCCTGTACACCGGACACACAGAGACACCTTCAGTGCCCGCTCACGGACTGACGTGGATGAAGTGTGTACACGGATGGCACGCATCGACCTGTTGACCTGTTGCCACATGCTGGCACACCTGCTGCATTCAGCACCCTCGGGGCAGGTCATGGCGGGCTCCTCGGCTGGGCGGGGCATATATCCCGGTGTCTCATCCTGGAGGAAGTGGGCCTGAGAGCTGGCATGGGTGGGAGCTGGTGGGTGCTTATCCTGGGTCAGTTCTGAGGGGCAAGATGAGCAGTGCTGATGGAATGGTGGGTACCCCGGGACCCGGACATTTGGCCTCATGTCACATCTCTAGTAGACAAGCTCTTCCTGAAACCACCATGGACACGCTAGGAGCCAAGGCTGGAGGAGACCCCTCTCCCGCCATACCCACGACAGGCTCAGGTGCCTCAGGCCCCCAGCTCTGTGGGGACCCCTGGTGGATAGGGGCCTTGCTGGAAGAACATAGCATGGAGTAGGGTCAAGGTGGTGGTCCAGAGTGCCGGCAGGCGTGGGGCTGCCTGGCCCCAACCCCACTCCCATGGTCTCAAAGGAGGGGTCAGCTGCTGGGAGGAACAACTGTCCACTCCTAGTCTGGATTTTCTCTCTGAAGTGCTGCAGACCATGTGGGACCCCGTTGCTTTTAGGCACAGTGGCAGGACTGTAGGGAGGCCCCATGGATGGCGAGGGGCCCACAGACCCTGGAGGACGCCGTCCAGGCTGGGTCACCCGTTAGGCTCCTCCAAGGACCTCATTCCTTGCCCCCCAGCTCCCATGGCCAAGACTGGGAGCTTGGAGGAGCAGCACCAAGGCGCCCAGAGAGTGTGGGTGGATAGTGCAGCTTTGCGCTGGGTGGAGTGCGGCCTGGTGCTGGCAGTTGCTGTGAGGGGAGTATCGGTGACCCCTGGGGGGATCAGGAGGTCAGGATAAAACAGGTGGCTCCAGGCGGAAGTGCTCAGAATGGCCGCAGGACCCACCGCTCTCCCCCGGCCTGGAGGACGGCAGCCCCAGCTGTTGGCTAGCTTCTAGAGACCCCACCTTCACAGAGCTCTCCCCACATGTCCCAGCACATGTGTGAGGACACTGCTCAGGTGGGGTCAGGGTCACCTCACTTCTTGCCAACTGACAAGAAAAACCTCATTTCCAGATGAGGTCCTGTGCACAGGGGTGGGGGTTGAGCTGTGGGGACACAACCTGTCAGCTCCACCTGCCCATGGTTGACCTTGGGTACTCTTTCAGCAAGCTCCTAGTCACCCCACAAGCCTAGCCCTGGTGCCCTGGAGAAGGGGGGGCTCCAAGTCCCTCAGAACCACTGGCTGCGGGGTCTCTCTCACTGGGTGAGGGTCTCCCTGCTCCCGTGGGTCTGTCACCTCCTCTCCTGGCTTTGTGAGCCCCTGGGGTACTGGGGTCAGGCCAGTGAGCAGAAAGGGGTGAAGGCCAGTGTGTTGTAGTGGACAGTGAGGGGAGGAGAGGTAGTGTAGTATGGTGGACAGTGTGGTGGGTGAGGGGCAGTGTATTGTAATGGACGGTGGAGTAGGTGAGGGCATTGAAGATAGAAGGGGCTGGGGGCAGTGTGGTGTGGACGGTGAGGTAGGTGGAGATAGGCGGTGGAAGCTGCATGGTGGTGGATGTGGTAGTGTGGTGGACAGGGAGGGCGGGGGCAGTGGGGTGGATGGTGAGGAGGGGCAGGAACGGGATGCCGGATGGTGCCTCTGTCACCAGCACATCAGGAAAGTGGGGTGCCTCACAGCTTGAAGTCTCTGGCCCTGCTGCTGTCTGGTGCCCAGTGGATTAAGAGATAGGATTATAAATGAGGGCATTTCTTCGCTCCACAGTGGGTGGGGGGGTCCCCACAACACAGCAGGATTCCCGTCTCCACTAGCTTCAGCTAAGTGCTTTTATCTCCTTACTCTCCCCTAGATGCTGGGCTGTGTGGGCCCAGGTTAGAATATCCAGCTGTTGACAGATTTCTAGGGTTACAGTGATGTAGTCACAGGTATAGTGCAAAACATCTACCTCTTGGGTTTATCAGGAGTACAGTGCAAAACGCGTACATCTTGGGTTTATAAACAATAGCAACTACTATTTGGGGAAATGGGTTAAGACAAAACTTTAGGGCTGGGGCTGAAATTTTCCACATGCAGGGCTTGTTGACTCGATGGAGTGAGTGCTCTGTAGAATGGGGTCTGTGTGGCTCCTCAGTTGGTTATGTGGTCCCCCAGGGGTCCTCTGTCCAGCTGGCCTGCCCTGCTAACTCTTCTCTGCCCCAGACTGGTGAGGATTTTGGGGCACAGCAGGTCTCGTTTCCAGGGCTTGGCCCACTGCCTGCCATCTGCTTGTACCATGTGGTCATGGGACACCAGGGGGCTGCTTACAAAGGCTTGTAGCCTATCAGATGCTGCTTAGTGAGGGGCACGGCCAGAGATGGGCATTAGGGGTGCCTGTCTTTGGGGTGCTCTGGGCAGGGAAGGCTCTTGACCAGGGAGTGGGTGGCCTCGGCCACATGCCGGGCCTCTGGACAGCCCCAATAGTCCTCTGTCCATCCGTGGTGCCCCATCCTGGTGCTGAGCTGGCCTGGGCACGTCTGGCCACAAGGGGCACCCTGGCCAAATCTTTGGTGACCCCTCCTAGCCCTACTGACTTCATGCGGTCATCCTGATGCTGCCTTGGTCAGGTTTCCCATCACGGCAGCTGGTCTGGAGCTGTGGTCACAAGGCCCTGGGGTACCGGGGCCCAAGTGGACACAAAGACTGTCAGCCTGGCCCCCAGTGCTGGATGGGAACCAGACAAAGCTTCCCAGACCACTCTTGCTGTTGTGGGGGGAATTGGAAGCTGCGCCCCCTCCCAGCCTGCCCTGCCCCCCTCACCTGGGCCACTGCTTCCTCAGTGGCTAATGGGCTGGAGGAGGAGGTGACCAGCCGGGCTGTACAGAGGCGACTCTGTGCCTCACACTTAAGGCTTCCAAGGGTGGATGGGTGGGGTGCAAGGGGCCTGGAGCATAGGGGATGGTGTGTCTGACTCCATGCAGTGAACACACCTCTCATCTCCCCCCTTGGTTTCCTTGTCTGGGAGGGAGATGATCCTGATCCCCTGGTGGCTGCTGCCCCCCCCCCCGTGCTGTGCATCAGAGTGGGAATGCACCCCTGAGCCCTGTGACCCCATCCCCCTATCAAGCCCAAAGCCTCTGTGGTTCCTTCCTTTTAATCAGTTAGCTTCTGTAATGACCCATCCTTAAGGGCATTGGGATGAGCTGGCCCAGGTGGCAGAGCCGCTTCCTGGGGGACATGGCAGAGTCCAGCGGCCTGGCAGACCGATTCTGGCACAGGATGAGGTGTTTTCCCCAACAGCTCTGGCCAGAGAGCCGGGGGCAGCTGTCCATCAGCGTGGCAACGAGTGAGGGCGCCATGCTCACGTGTAGGAGCACCAGCCTGGGGCAAGGAGGGTGGGGCCCAGGTGGCCATCGCCTCGTATCGCAGGGGCCCAGCAGCCTTGTCTATTGGGCCTGGATGGCAGATGCTGTGAGGACCTGAGTGGGGAGGCCAGCTGGAGGCTCCTGCTCCATCATGCGTGTCACTGTGGCCCTGCCCGGGAGGGTGGGGTAGGATGGGGTGCTGCTCGGGACACAGCACCAGCCATGGGAGAGTTTGGGGCTCCCACTCTGTCTTCAGGGTCTGAGCCCCGAGAGTGGGGATGGCACGCCCCCTCAGCCCTTTCTCCCCACCAGCTGGGGGGCTGTGGCGTCCTAGGTGTTGGCATCTGGCTGGCCGCCACGCAGGGGAACTTCGCGACCCTCTCCTCCTCTTTCCCGTCACTGTCGGCTGCCAACCTGCTCATTGTGACGGGCTCACTGGTCATGGCCATTGGCTTCGTGGGCTGCATCGGGGCCATCAAGGAGCACAAGTGCCTGCTGCTCACAGTGAGTGGGGACACGCGAGGGGGCACAGGCAAGGGAGCCCCTCAGCAGGCTGTGTCATCAGTGCCGCCCCTCCCACAGTTCTTTGTGATGCTTCTGTTCGTGTTCCTGCTGGAGGCCACCATCTCTATCCTCTTCTTCGTCTACACAGACAAGGTGTGTGTGGGGTGCTGTCTTACGGTTCCTGCGTCGTCCAGTGGGTACAAGTTCACGCACACTCACCTGCCCACTCACTGAACACAGATGCACACTTGTGGATGTGAAGGCTGAGGCCTTGCTGCAGCCAGCGAGGGGTACCTCTACTCAGCCCTCGGGCGGTCCGTGCCCTCGGGTGGTCTGTGCCCTCCGGTGGTCCATGTGTGCCCTTGGGTGGTCCGTGCCCTCTGGTGGTCCATGTATGCCCTCGGGCGGTTCGTGCCCATGAATTGTGTGGAGCTCAAGTGCTATCCAGTAGCCACGCCAGGGGCGGAGATGCACCTCCCAGTGTGAGCAGACCTGCAGCTTCCTGAAAGTCGGTGATGGTGAGGTGGGGATGTGTTATCAGATGTCTTTAAATAGCATCTGTTGACCTGGAGAGAAACTTGCTGCCCACTACCCCTGGGCACAGGCTTCCGTGTCTGTGGCCACTCCAGAGTGTGGTTCTCTGCTAGGCAGACCAGCTCTGCACTGCCTGTGGTGGCCAGAAACCAAGGCCTCACCTGCACACCCCACCCACAGAGCTTTCTGATGCAGGCGCTGCTCAGGGGTAATGGTGCTCAGGCACCTTGGAAGGTCTCACACAGACCCCCGGTGCCCCTGTAGATCGACAGGTATGCCCAGCGCGACCTCAAGAAGGGCCTGCACCTGTATGGCACACAGGGCAATGTGGGACTTACCAATGCCTGGAGCATCATCCAGACAGACGTGAGTGCTCATGCCTGCATCGGTGGGGCTAACCTGAGGGGTTCCCATGTGGGTACCCCCCCAGGGTGCTGAGGGAGGAGCAGTGGGCGGCTCATTCTCACTGTTCTGCCCAGTTCCGCTGCTGCGGTGTCTCAAACTACACCGACTGGTTCGAAGTCTACAACGCCACGCGGGTGCCTGACTCATGCTGCTTGGAGTTCACCGAGAGCTGCGGCCTGCATGCACCCGGGACCTGGTGGAAGGCGGTGGGTAGTGGGGCTGGGGTGCTGGGTGGGCTGGAGGGGGACACGCCAGGCACGGCCCCTGACTTGTCTGCCATCCTGCAGCCCTGCTACGAGACAGTGAAGGTTTGGCTGCAGGAGAACCTGCTGGCTGTGGGAGTCTTTGGGCTGTGCACGGCCCTGGTGCAGGTATGCAGGCTGGCACCTGGTGCCGCTCTGCCCCACAGGAGGGATGGCGTGGAAGCTGGAGCAGCAGATCACATGCTATCATGGGGGGCCAGCTAGTGGGCCTGGGTCCCTGGGGATGGGCTGTGCCTGCACAGACCGCCACCTTGGACTGAGCACGTTGGCTGTCTCTATGGAGAAGGCCCTTAGGTGCCAAGAGCTGTGCGTGTACCAGGAAAGGTGGTGGGTGGTGTTTACAGACTGCCTGATGCCCCTTGGGAGTATGGTGTCAGGGTGCCATCTCAGGCTGGTGCACATCCCCTTCTGTCCCTCTACAGATCCTGGGTCTGACCTTCGCCATGACCATGTACTGTCAGGTGGCCAAGGCTGACACCTACTGTGCATAGCCTCTGTGGATTGACAAGCCACTCTGACAAACCTCCCGGGCCTACTCTGACCAGAGTGGTGGGTCAGGCGGGGCCTGGCCCCAGGACCCCACTGAGGAAGACCAGACTCTCCTCCAGGACTGAGGACTGGTGGATTCCGGCACCTTTTATACCCATGTACTTGCCACAGCAGTTCTTACCATCCCCTCCCCCAGGCTGGGAACAAGGGGTGGGACCAGCAGATGCTTGGGCAGAGCGGCCCAGCAAATTCAATAAAGTGCGTGCAGCGGCCTCATGTGCATCTGTTCTCACGCTTCCCTCTGCAGGGACCCTTGGCCCCAAGCCTCCCCACCTCTGCCCACACTGACCAGATCCCCAACCTTTGGTCCTGAAATTCACAGCAGGGTCCCAGATCAGGGGCATGGAGGAGTGTCCCAACAGACTGTCCACCTGCCACCCAAGGCTATCTTCAGTGCAGAGTGGCCTCAGCCTGCCCTGTGTCCACTTCTATTAGGGCTCCAGAGGACCCCGCCCCTTCTCATGGTGGGCTCAGGCTGTAATCTGAGACCTGCAGCCTCCACATCCCCACAGGGACCTTGGGGCTACGCACACTTCCACTTTGGGGGAACAGGTGGGCACCTAAGCGATGTGTGATGGCTCGTGCAGCAACCCTTTCTATGCCTGCTGTGGCATGGAGGGCCTTGCACTAGGGGCAGGGGTCCCCTGACCAGGGTCTGCAATGACTCTAGACAAGAACTCTGGAGATTGACCCAGACCGGTGATGTGACAGGTGGCGCAGCACGTCCCGCTGGTGTGACGGCCTCAGATCAGTGTGGATTAATATGACTAGAGAGGAGCTCCGGGGGCGGGGTGTGTGTCAGCACGGGATGGACTGCTGGCCCTGCCCCTGGCATCCCCACTCTCGAAGATCTCTGCCTGCTGGGTCATGAGCACAACCTGCTGGTCAGCTTGGCCACCCTCCTCGGGCTCTGGGCACGAAGGGTGGCTACACACACACGGACTGTGTTGTCAGAAGTGGCCGCTAGGCCTCTGCACAGAAGGCACAGCTGGTGGGTCCAGGGTCACTCTGTATCCCCGCGCTGCCTTCTCTGTGAGGTGGGGTCCCAGAGCCCTGTTCCTGATGGAATCCACACTGTGGACGGAGCCTTGTGGCTGGCTGAGCACAGTGCCACGGCTCCAGCAAGGGCAGGGTGACTGCGGGGAAGGGGTGAGGCCAGGGCTGCTCAGGACGTTTCACGACCCTCATTCCACCACTGCCTGGTGGGAAAGGCTGTGTGGGCACCTCCCAGGAAGCGAGCCACAGCAGATGGACAGAGGTGCGAGTAAGAAGGCGCTTAAGTTGTTCTTTAACTCAGAAAAGGAGTCCAGCCCACACCACTCACACCGAGCATACCACTGCCCTCACAGCAGGTCGTAGAAGTAGTCCAGGCCCTGGCCCAGCTCCCAGATGGAGATGCCGACGCCCAGCTCCCGGGCCAGGTCCAGCCGCACCTGGATGGACTGGACAGAGGAGGGATCACCTGCTTGCTGCAACCCTTGCTGACAGGCATCCCCAGTGGCCTCAGTGGAGGGCAAGGGTCACGATGAGGAGGGATTCCCAAACCTGGAGGCTGCCTGCCTCTGCCACCATGGGCCCTGTGCCCTCGCCTTCCCAGCCCAGCGTACCTTCAGTGTTGGGTAGAAGACAACATGCCTCCCGCCACGGCTCCTAGAACAGACAGACCGCCATGCCCTCCTCGCCTGGCTCAGGACGGGTGCCCACCCCTCTCGGTCCATCCCAGGCAGGACGCTCACTTCTTGTACTCAAACACGTGCTCAGCGGCTTGGCTGTCCCACACGAGTTGTGGCCGGTGCTCCTTCAGCATCTGGATATACCTGGGGGACCGTATGGTACTGAGCTCCGCAGTGCCCCAGCTGGGGGCTGCTCCTTAGGGGCCGCTGAGAACACTCCCCCAGCCCCTTCCACAGGTGTGTCACATGCACCTCATCAGAGACAGGCAAAGGTCTGCAAACAACGGTGGGTCTGTATCCAGAGTGGACAGCACTGTCCATGTGCTGGTGGCTGACCCAGCCTCTCCTCACTCCTCAAGTCCAGAAGGTGCACACCCAGGGCCTGGAAGCTCTATGTGCTAAGTGTCCCCTGCACATAGCTACCTGGGGGCTCAGGGGCCCCTGGACCTTCCCAAAGGGCTGCTTTCCTCACACAGTAGGCTGTCCTTGAGGAAGGTGACAGATACCCAGAGCCTTGAGGGGGCAGAAGCACGTGCATCGCGAGCCAGAAGTGGGATGTAAGCATGTATGTCACAGGAGACACAAGGACAGTCATGGGACAGAAGTGGCTCCAAACTCATGTAGATGTAGGGGTTAAGAAGTTAGGGGTTTGAGAAGTGCAGTTAAAAGGCCTGTTTCTGATGGAAAGCAAAGCAGCTTTGGGCCCAAGACAAGAGCCCAGGTCACACAGTGTGGGGGAAACGGCCTGCGGAGGAGACTGCAGCTGGAACCGTGAATGCTTTGAAAAATGTTAAAATTCATTAACTATGAATATTTGTTCTGGATATTGTTATTCATATAACAAAGTTGATATACTTTGTAGCTACAGTTTAGTATTAAGATGTATATGATCACCAGATGCTGTGAATTGTGAGTTTGCTACTCTGCCCTAGCAAAATTTGAAACTAACTGGATATACTAAAAGGGGAAGATTTACCGTGGAGCAATGCTTGCTGAAAACAGTACAATTAGAGGGCACGGTACTTGTCCTGCGGAGCCCTGAGCTCTGCCCAGTTCTCTGAGGAGATCCACATTTGAAAAGAGCTGTACATTTGGAAGTCAGACAGACTTTGACCTTTTAGAACCTGAACAAGCAGTTTGACTTGAGGCCCCTTTCCAGGATTTAAAGTCAAAGAGCTGGCAAATCTGCCCACTTTTGTGGTGACCACCTGGATTCCCAGGAATGGAATGAAGACACAGCATTAAGAGATAGGCTCAGTGAGCACATTCTAGCAGCACTGATGACCTACCAGGCACTGGTAACACGGATAAGCACGAAAGGGTTCTGGCTTTGAGAAGCAGTCATGGGCATCCCTGTCTTGTTTGCTTGGCCCTATGTGGGGGCTCAGGCTGGAGGGACCAGCCAGTCTGGAACAGGCAATGTGGACTCCCAAGTTTGACAATGATGCTCCTTGATGGCTTGAGGTGAGCTGGCGAGAACCCAGTATGTTCTATGTGTGAGCTGGTGTTTACTGCTCCACGTGATGGTTTGCTCTTGACTGGACTTTCCTTATGGATGCAGATGCTGAAAGTTCTAACTAGAACAGAAGATTCTTCGAAAGAAATATGCTTGTTTCCTCAGAGTACTGGTATGACAGAGAAGGACAAAGAAAAAATTGGCTATCTAAAACGGGGGAAATGAAAGCATGAGGTGTGAAGTGCGGACTTACACACATTTCAAAAATAGAGCTGTACGTTGTAAGAAGCAAGCTAATTTTTCATGTGTGAACGCCAATAGTTGAAAAAGCCAGAGGGTGGCCTTTCCTAGCCAGTTGACTTTGACATGTAGAAGGGTGGGACTATGCAAATAAGCATGGCAGCCTAACCACAAGGGGACCAGCTACTCCTGCCATTGAAGTGAGCAAGCCAGCAACAAGAGACAAGACAGATCTTCCCTGCCACTGAAGCAGCAACGAGAGTGTAGGACACCCTTCTCATTCCAGCTACACCTGCTACAGAAACAGCCACAGCTGGAGACCTGATGTAAGGTGGCACCTTGGGGGGGAAGAGCCAACATTGGGAGGACTGAAGTGCCTGTGAGCACATTCTGGAGCTGTCCTGAAGGTTATCTGCTAATCACCTGACTTGGAACCTTCTGAATTCCCCAACATGGTTGTGTGTGGTCTGTGAGCTATTGCATCAGATTTTGGACCCTGCAAAGCAGGAAGACCGGTGCTGACGTCAGGAGCATCGTGGATGTATACGGCCTCTTGGGGATGGGTTTTGTGTCACTGATGCTGTTGACAGGGACAGTTCCCCTTGTGAAGTTGGTAAAGGCCAGATATGACCTCATGTGGCCCTTGCCCTTTTCATGACGTGCACCACAGGAGGCACCTGGGAGGATGAGGACACAGACGGAGCACCATGGACTGAGTTCTGGCCGCGTGGACACATGGTTTGGGGAGCCTTGTCTCTTGTGACCAGCTGCTGGTGACTGGACATGTCTGTGCTTGCCTTGTGCACACAAAGCCCACAGATGCCCAAGTTGCCAGATGTGGAGCAGGGTCCTGCCTGGGACTGAGTTAGACCGGAAGCAAGCTTGGGACTTGAGTGTGGGAGATGCTAGCAGATGTGGTGTCCACAGCTGGACAAGACATCCTTGGGAAGGCCTGTGGAGGAGGGGACAGTGTAGTTGGATGGCTATGGGGGAGGGGGCCAGGTGACACAAGTCCACTGTGGATATGCAGGTGGGTCCTAGCCAGCATGTACTGAGCCTGGGGCCACTCCAGACCTCTCTGGCTTTGGGTCCCCAGATAGCAGGTGATGCACAGGTAGCAGACCCCCATGGCAGCCCAGGTGCTCAATGTGGGCACAGAGGTGCCAGGATGAAGCAGCTGAGGGGGCAGTGGGCAGGGGCCCAGGTGCCAGTTTGAGAGCTGGGCCCAGCAGGCAGTTAGGGATGCTGAGAGGAGGTCCACACGGCCACACGTCCCCATGAACATGACCATGCTTCCTGAGCAGCAGGGACAGACATGCTGAGGCCCCACAGGGTCCCTACACCCTCAAGACTTGAGCTGTGCAGCATGAGTGACCCAGGCATGCCCATCTGTCCCTGGTGGGGCCAGCACCACCCCAGAAGTGGGCCTCCAGTCCCCGTGAGTCCCTCTGAAATCCTCCAGGTGATAGCCGGTCCGAGGCCCATGGCCAGTGCCCTGGTCAGGTGTCAGGGTCCTTCCCTCCATGACATCACTTCAGATTGGCTGTGATCTCACGCCAGCAAACCACAGAGGAGCTGGGGCTGGTGTCCTTAGTGTCCTGTGCAGCTACAGCCCTGCCATGCAGCTTTCTAAACATGCCAGGATACACGTAGCTACAGGTGGGAGGGAAACCCCGCACATGCTGAGAGTGGAGTTCATGACATGGGGCTCAGCACTGAGAAGAGAGGCTGCAGAGATGGCCCCTGGCTGCTGGTTCTGTATAGACAGTGAAGCTATATCTGGGGGCACAGGGGCCACCTAGGAGTAGGCTGTGTGAGACCCAAGGTCAGGGGCCAGTGTGGAGTAGGGGCACAGAGAAGAGGTGCTGTCAGTAGAGGGGGGGCACACGGGTGGGAGGAAAGGGTGCTGTCATTGGGGCCACCAGGGAGGGGAGAGGGGTGTGGTCAGCAGGGGGTGCAGGGTCAGCCCTGCACGCCTGGAGTCCTGGGGGGACAGTGCAGAAAGAGACCCGGCAAGTCCCTGAGCTTGGCCTTGGCCTCGATCACAGACATAGCCCCTTGTGCAAAGTGCCCATCACTGACCCAGGGACACGCCCAAGGAGGCTGCTGGGGCGTCAGGTGATGGTGGGCCGATGGAGGGTTCTGGAATCTGAGAGTGATGACACACACTTTGTGAACATAAAAAAACCCCATAACCTATGTCTCACAGAAAGTCCGAGGCCTCAGAGTGTGAGACACTGACCAGGGCTCAGGGGGCCATGAGATGTGTGTCCTGCCATGTCCTGCACAGCTCTGGGACCCCTTCACCGCCTGGGCCTGAAGACAGCACAGTGCACCTGGGCGGGGCGTGGCACCTGGGCGTGGCGTGGCACCTGGGCGGGGTGCCACGATCTACTGCTCATCTCCCTTCTAATCTGACCCCCTTTTGAGGAAGCTCAATGTGGGGTCTAGAGGGGTTCCTGGAATGTTCTGGGGTATCGTGACCTCAGGATCTCAGGGGAAGAGACAGAAAAACTCCTATGGGATGGATTTAACAGGGGAGAACCCAATGGTGTTACATCTGCATCAGGTATCACACACCTATGTCCAAAGGTCACACCTCCATCAAACAACACACCTTTGTCCAAACGTCACATCTATGTCAAGCTGTCCCAGCTGCACTCAGCCATCACACCCAGAGTCCCACCCTAAGGTAAGGATACTGGTAGTGGCCTCTGGCCTGAATACAGAGCGTGCCATGTGCCAGGGGCATGAGAAACCTTGGGCAGGGACCCCACAACATCCCTGTTCGTGCCCAGCTGCCCATCCGTCATGCCTGGATGGAGGTAGATCTGAGCAAGTTACTTTCCAAGACCAGAGGCCAAGTGGAGGATGGGAAGGGGTGGGGAGATTCTGTCCACCAGGCCCCAAACCCCTGAAGCAGCCTGCCTAAAGCCCCATGGGGCCTGTGCCCTCACAGGTGATGGTCTGCAGCCCCCAGTGTAGAGAGCAGTACACAGCAACGCCCCGTCCGAAGCAGACAGATTACTGACTAGACCAAGTGTGAACTGAGCCCCCAGGAGCCCCTGAGGGTGGCCAGCTGAGGCAGGTCAACCTCAGACTGGAGTGTGACACCTTCCACAGAAAGACCAACTGGTCCAGAGGAAAGGACAGAAGAAGGGAGGGGCTGCAGGAGCAGTGGCAAGGGACCGAGCAGCTGGGGGGTCTTGGTCAGGCACTGGCCAACTGAGGGGCCAACAAGGACACCTCACCACAGGGCAGGAAGGCTGCACAGCTTCCCAAAGGGTCCCGGAGCCCCTGGGGGGAAGGGGCCTGGCCCAGGCAGCCCAGGGAGAAGGTACAAGGTAGGTGCTGAAGGCCGGACTGGGCCTAGCCAGATTACAGAACTACAAGTTATCTGGGGGTGCAGGGTGGAAGAGGGTGCAGCTAGGCTTTGTCTGTGTAGCCCCAGGCCCACCCTATCCAGCCACTGCCCATGCGGGGGTCATACACACAGGAGATGGGTCAGCCATGCTCTCCACGACGACAGGAATCACTCAAAGTCCAGGTGCATTAGCTGAAAGCAGTGCACCACCGACGGGGGACACCCAGGGCCCGCAGTGCACCGTCGAGGAACACGCCCAGGGTCAGCAGTGCACCCTCGAGGGGAACGCGCCCAGG